CGATGCTATTCTGGGCTCAGAGACCGGGCCCGTCAATGACCCAGCTGATGCCGACACGTGTCGCCCAACAAGCTTTGGCCGAGCTGTCTTGTTGTACGCTTGTCACCTCCCTCCTCCTTGCTGCTTCTCCCCTCATGCATCCAAAGTTTGGAGGAATTTTCAAAACAATCTTGTTTACACTTTTAATCCAAAAAAAGACCCGTTTTTAACTTAATTTCAGAAACCGACCTGGTTTCAGCCTCAGCGCTAAAACCAGGTCGGTTTCTGAAATTTTTTTTCGAAGAGTTCAATTCCCGTGAAGTTTCATGTTCAAAAATTCAATTTTTTTTGAACTATGAAACTTCACGGGAGTTGAACTCCCTTGAAGTTTAGTAAATCTTACTAAACTTCACGGGAGTGTTGAACTCCCGTGAAGTTTCGGAATTTTTTTTTAGAAACCGACCTGGTTTCAGCGCTGAGGCTGAAACCAGGTGGGTTTCTTAAATTAAGTTGAAAATGGGTATTTTTTTGAGATTAAAAGTTCAAAGAGGTCTGTTTTGAAAATTTGTCCTCCAAAGTTTAGATAGATCGTGCGGGATAAAAAAGTTGAGGGGGTTATGTGGAAAAACTCCCCGAAGTTAGGGGGGCTCGTTGTGAGGTTTAACTCCCTATATAAATCTCCTCCAAAGCCACCATACTCCGCTCGCTTAAGAGAGACATCAGACCCATGGATGCTGCTCTGAGGTTATCCGGGCACTGCCCGTTCTTGAGCATGCACGACGCAGCGTACGGCAGCGTGCGCTATGATGATGAGGAGGGGGTTAGAGAGAAGGACGAGGGTCTGAAGAAAGGGATTGCGGAGGTCTACGACGAGTCGTTCCCGGGGTGTGGCGGAGGGCTGTTGGGTGATCACTGCATCATGCTTTACGAGCCGAGGAGCGGCGGCGGGCTTCGACAGGGCCTGAAAGGATCACCCGGAAAGCGCAGGTTCGAATGGTCGACGAAGCCTTGGGTTTTGCCGAGACCACAGGTTTTGGTTCTTTTATATGATCCGATGCTTGCTTCAATAGTTCTCTATATGATCCAATGCTTACTTCAATAGATTATTGAATTATTTGAATTATCTTTGTTTCAGATTCTATGAATCTTACTTAGTGATTTGTTCGTCTTTGTGCTGATATTGACATATGCCTTCATGGTGAGCAAAGGTCAGGGTTCACAGAGAATAATATTTAGGAGGTTTAATTAAGGAGATATCTCGAACTACTGCTGAGAATTATGCAAAATTTCTCCATCCAAATCTTAAAGCGTGTTATTTTTTTACTTAATACCGGGAATATCTCATATTTTGAATTGTTTATACGAGCTTTAGAGTTTTGCTGAACTCCCCCAAGTTTGGATTATATCCTTTAAAAATAACTTACTCCACGCAGATGACTCCTTGAAGAAACCCAAAAAGATTGTGGATGTTGGGTGTGGGATTGGTGGAAGCTCTAGATACCTGGCAAAGAAATTTGGAGCTAATTGCTGCGGAATCACTTTGAGCCCTGTCCAAGCTCAAAGAGCACAAGCTCTTGCCGTCGCTGAGGGGCTCGGGGACAAAGTACTTAGAACTCTCTCCCTTCTTTTGTTCATATATTCACTGCTTTTGGGCGTAAGATGTCTGTTGTTTCTAGTATCAGTATGGCTCATGTTTCGCTTTGTGTTTCCGTAAATCAAATGGATGTTAGCAGGTTTCTTTCCAAGTTGCAGATGCATTAAACCAACCCTTTCCCGATGGGGAGTTCGATTTGGTTTGGTCCATGGAAAGCGGCGAGCATATGCCCGACAAGATAAAGGTAATTGGATATTTGATATACGAAGTTGATGCTTCAAAACTAAGTAAAAACCCATCACTTATTTCTGTAAAAGATTACTTGTGTCCGGAGTTACTAGATGCCATGGTTTTCTTTGAGGAGCTGGAGATGACTTGGTTTTAGCGGATCACTCAAAACTTTTTTGTCGCAACGCGATATGATTAATGGAAACTCCTTTCTTTTAATTTCGTAGTTTGATGATTTCATAGTTGGAACGCATAACACCCTTGATAATGGCCAGAATTGTCATCCTTTTCGTGTGTATATCAAGACCAAAGAAATCTTACCTAGCTCTAAATTGATTGACATCGACATACATATAACATTGGACATCTTATCTATCTCTATAGATTGACTGCCATTGACAAGTGTAGAACTTTGGACATTGAAATTATTCATGTTCCGAGCCGGCAGAATTGAGTCCGATATTCTACTTCGTTCCTATTTAGAAGATGCATGCATAAAACTCACCTACTCGTTCATGTAAGGGTTAACTGCAGGTAGACCCCTGTACTATTGCCAATTGTGGTGGATAGATAGACACCCTGTAGTTTGTTGTTGAAGATAGAACCCTGACTGATTTTTTTCGACTCTTCTACCCTCAGGAGGTCTATTTGTTAAATTAAAAAAAAAAAAAAACAAGAAGCAATTTTCTCTTTCACTTGGCTGTTACACAGGTGTTCATAAAGGGTTAGTACAAGAGAGAGGGTGGTTGCAGAAGCTCGATAAAATTCGATCCTTAAAGAGGCACCGACGTTATGTTAATGTTATGAATCATACTAACGCATGCTGGTTGGTTTGTCTATACAGTTTGTTAGTGAATTGGCACGCGTTGCAGCACCCGGGGCGACCATAATAATAGTGACATGGTGTCACAGGGACCTCTCTCCTGAAGAGGACTCGCTAAAGCCCGAGGAAAAGAATCTCCTGAACAAAATATGCAGTGCTTATTATCTACCCGAATGGTGTTCGGCTGCTGATTACGTTAAAATTGCCCAATCCTTAAAACTCCAGGTAAAACAGAAAAATATATGTAAATGCAGAAATCATGTACATGCTACTTAAAACTTACTACTAATGCCAGGATATCAAGACGGCAGATTGGTCAGAGAACGTAGCCCCATTTTGGCCTGCCGTGATTCAGTCCGCCTTTACATGGCAAGGATTCACTTCTTTGATACGGAGCGGTAAGTTTTTCCCCGCTTGCATATTGTGTGAGGTAACTTTGGCCATTATCGCTGTAACTCCTTTCGTATAGGATGGAAGACGATAAGAGGAGCGCTTGTGATGCCTTTAATGATCGAAGGCTACAAGAAGAACCTAATCAAATTTGCCATCATCACATGTCGTAAACCCGAGTAGTACGAGCATAAAAGAAATTAGACAAGTTAAGCGCTGTATCGCTATATCATTTGTGGCTTGGCTAATTGGTTGAAATGAAATGTGGGTGTCAATGTAACATGTCAAATGGGAAATTGGTGAGTTTGTGTATTGTCCAAGGTTTGCTTGATGGGCGTTTCGTAGCATTTCGTCGGGTGCGGATTGTACAAACTATTTAGCAGGGTGACCTGACCTTGACAAGTTCAATGATTTAATCGTAGTTGTATATGATCATAAAAGTTCATGCGAATCTTGTGAAAAGGCAAACGTTTATGATACTGGTTGAAGTTCACATTCTAATCTAGTTCAAAGAAAGATAGAGATACAATGCATCATCCCACTAAATTTTGTAATTTTCACTATACATCTTTGCCCATCTTTGCATGGTCATATGCCATGCGGAACAAATGATTATTATTCACTCTGAAATCATAAGAATATGAATAAAAGTACAATTCAACAAAAAGAGAGAATTTAAGGAGAAGAAAACCCTTTTCATATGGAGACTGCTTCATTCAGAAGTTGCAGAAATTTTCAGTGGATGCGCAGATTTCCATTACTCCTGTTGTCATCATCAGCTTTTCTCCGCTCCTCCATGGGCGAGGCTTAGTTCTCTGCTAGCATTATAATTTGTGGGGGGTGGTGGTTAAAGTTTAAGCATGACACAAAGGTAACTTCAAACTCATAGTTAAACGATGAAAACAAGCAACGAAGGGAATCAAGCATTTTCAAAAGATAACTTCCGACTTACTCATTCTTTCTCTTGGCATGGCACTTCTCTATTACGCCATACCAATTCCACTGGACGCATAATCCCAAGAAGCGCATGAAACCAGCACCCAAAACTTCAACAAACGCCCATAAGCTTGATGGTTGTGGCGACAAACCTGCTGTTGCGATGGCGATCATGGTTCCCTCAAACCCGCAGGGCACAATAAATGCTCCGGTTTTGATACCATTTAAGGACAGTTTGGCAACTTCGTCAGCTTTCATTACGACACCTCCAGATCCTGCTATCAGGTTGGTGGTCTCCGGTCTTAGTCTGTGTTCTGCATTAGAATCATTCGAAGCTTAGTATTTGGGGTAATATGCAATAACAACAGCTAGAAGACTGGAAAATTTGAAATCGATGTCTCCCAAACAAAGAAAAAGAAATTTAAATGGTTTATCTATTTTAGGTAAGCATTTATAGACTGATCCTTCATATAGAACTTTATAAGCTTATACTGGAGAGGGTTGTGGTTCCGAGATGGAAAAGAGTTCTCAAGTTCTTAGGACTGTTATAGGGAAAATAAGGAGTTAAAATAACAAAATGAACTTACCATGTAAGAATTAAATAATTCAAAGTAATCCAGTGCTATATACAGTCAAATATGAGCAGAATCAGGTTAACATGGATCAACTACTAGATAAGATGACATCTTGGATTTCCAAATGAAAAGATTGTGGTTCAGATGAAAGCAGAAAGTAACAGAGTCGTAGAATGGAAGAAAGATATGGGTTAAAACTAGATGCGACTAACAAAAATAAATAAATAAAAAATTTAAAATTTAAAAAAAATCCATGAAGTATTGAGATGTTCATAGAGCACAAATAAACTGATTATCATAAATATATGATCATTAATTGCAATCGCAAATTAAATTAGGCAGATGTTAGATTGTTTCAAGGGGTTGAATCATTTGGAAACCTAAGTATTACAGCTTCTTATCTTCACTAATTTAGAAAGAACTAAATGACTGTTTTCAGTCAAATGGGAGTTGGATTAATAAACATAACCCGATGCATTTAACCTACTCCACTAGAATGAAATGTGTTGAAGCTATTTTTTTTTAAAAAAAATTGCAAAGGAACATCATCATTCAACCAGAACCCGTATGGTTTATACTCAGTAATTGGGTTTTGAACTTTCAAAAAAAGATTTTGGCAAGTGGCGACAGATAGTCTGGATCTAAAAGTCCAAAGAAAAGTTAAGTTATAATAACAGGAATTCGCTAGCTATGTTCGATCAATGAATTTAAATCCTTTTTATGGGAAGGGGGTAATTGCAAAATATAGATAATTAAAAAGATTGTTACACAATTGTTTTTGGCAAAAATTAAATCTCCAATCTTATGGTTAACGTGATGATAAACAAAAAAAAAGGGAAAATAGTTTGTATAGTGGATGTCAAATTTTGATTTTATTATCACATTTGCCTACCCTTAGCAAAGAGGACTACAGCAAAACAAATTATAGAACGTTTATATTGAATTTGATCTATTCACAACAGCCAAACAAGCATAGACCCAATTTAAAAATCCAATCTAAAGCTAATTCCACATAGTTCAGCATGAAGCAGAGACTCAAATCATAACTCAATCTTAAAACGTGCTAAAATCTGTGCGGTCAAAATTGCCTCTCAACTAATTGCTGATAAACACATCCGATTAAGGTAGAAGATAACTTTGTTTTGCATATCGATCCCGTCAAATTCACCCTACGGAAGAGAGTTTTATTTTTTAAGTGGGTTCATGGTTTCCAATAGACTCAAGAGTCTACTGTTAATTACCCATTCTAAAGAAAAGAAATTAAGAGTCAATAAATGTCATCAACACAAAAGAAAACTCACAAGAAAGCACAAAAACTTTATTAAAAATAATAATCATGCACCTGGCTTAACCAAGGGCATAACCCCAGTGTACAGATTTTCATATGAGATCTTAGATTAGGGATGTGGCGGTTGAAATTTGGATTTGGGTTTGCCTTGGAGGTGTGAGATGGTCTTTGGATTTTAAGTCCAGTTTAGCAATGTAAAGGTCAAATTTGGAATTTTCCAGTTTATCGACGTAGAAATTTAAAAATTTTCATAAGGATGTGGAGGTCAAGTTTGATTTGAGATCCAGTTTAAAGACGTGGAGGTCAATTTGATTTGGGTTCCAGTTTAGTGTCGTAGAGGTCAAGTTCAATTTAGGTTTCAATTTAATGACATAAGGTCAAGTTTGATTTGGGTTCCAGCATAGCGACATAGAGGTCAAATTTGATTTGGGTTCCAGTTTAACACCATAGAAGGTAAATTTGGTTTGTTTTCTATTTTAGGGACATAGAGGTCAAATTTATAATTTTCCAGTTTAGCAACATGAATGTCAAATTTGGATTTGGCTCAGCTTAGCTACTTGGAGATCAATTTGATTTGGCCTAGTTTAGCAACTTCGAGGTCAATTTGATTTGGTCCAGCTTAGCGAGGTGGAGGACGCAGTTTATACCCATGCACCCAATAAGTAACATGTGAATGCATTTTAGACTCGTGCTTCCAAGGAGTAAATGTGGATGCAATGTGAACTATATGAAGATGTTGTCCTGATTACTTCATGAATCAGCTTAATATCAAATCATAACTAGAGTGTGGTTTAAATTTTAATCTACTAAATCATCAAGATATTGTTTTCTGTTGAAAATAATTAAGTCCAGCAAACAAAAGAGTTTGATTCTATACCTTCAGCAAAGCCCGGGGTTTCTGTATCTGGAGGAAATATGAGAGTCACATGAATGTTGTCAGCAAAGACCTCATGCTGCAAAGCCTCCCCTAAGCCCCGAAGCGCAAATTTGCTTGCCGAATAAGCTGTATATCCATAGAGACCTACCTGGAAGAAAACAGTGGTAATCCAAATAAATATAAGCCCATCAAACAGACTCCAAACTTTTTATGCGGATGAACGCCAGATATCTTTCCACTTTATCAAAAGAAGAAAAAGAAAATCAATACCAAAAACCATAAAAGTCACTAGTTAAACATCATGAAAAGGCCTCATACGGGAAATGGGGAAAACATTTTAGCAAAAACTAAGAAAATATACAAGATGGGAAGTATGACAATAAATTTTGATCCAGATGCTAATGTATTCAAAGAAGTGCCCCCGTTTAAATTAATTTTGACAAGGATTAGGCAGGTACTTCCAACTTTGCAAATACACTTGAGACCAAAGGAATTCCTTAATATCTTTCAAAAATACGGACTTGTAGTGACTAATTTAAGTTATTATGATAGCTTCCAGACAAAAGTTAATGCGACTAAGTGCAAAATTTCAGCAGACATAAATCTCAACCCCTTGAAATTGCAACAGCAATATCCAGAGTTACTTTGTTCAGGGAAATATAAGAAAGGTAAAAAGTCCTTTTCTTAAACAGAAATTACCATTCATCCGTTTATCAAGAAGACAACACGCTTAGAGCCTTGATGCAAATGGCAAGTAAGATACAAATTCAGTAGAAAAACCAATAATACTTTGATAAACTTCATTTAAATTACCAGACAAACACTAAGACCCATTGGAGGAAAGTTCCAGTCACCGTTGCAGTAGAAAATACGGAATTACTTTAAGTAAATTCATTCCCAAAATTCTGTAAATTATCAACACCGCTGTGGAAGAACAAGATACCGACTTTCCATAAATAACTTCAAAAATCTAACAATAACAATTAACTTCTATAATAAGAAATCCAACTTATCCCGCTCGAGACGAAAAAAACATGTTCGCATTTATGTAATTATAAGAAATATACCAAAATTTGACCGTGTAATCAATTGAAGTGCAACAATTTGGTCTCTTTTTAAACAAATGTGAACATGCTTGTTCTTTATAATTAAATTTCTTTTACAAATTAGATTCTTTTTTTGAAAAAAAAAATTCTGAGCTTGAGGTCTCTCACCTGCCCAGCTTGCGACGACACGATGGCGATCGATGCCGGAACCCCAGTCTCCTTCGCCCTCCTCTTCATCGGCGGCAACACCGGCTTAATCAAATGAAACGTCCCCATCACATTGACATCCATCATAAACTTGACCTCCTCCAGATCCTGCGCCTCGAGCTCCTTCGGCACGAAAACCCCATGGCTGCAAACCAGCACATCGACGTCCTCCTCCTCCTC